CAACTGACTTGTATATTCACAGCATCCACAATGGAAGCGTCATAAAAAAGAAGTCGTTTTTTTTATCTAAATCACGTGGATGTTCTCTCTCTCTCTCTCTCTCTCTCTCTCTCTCTCTCTCTCTCTCTCTCTCTCTCTCTCTCTCTCTCTCTCTCTCTCTCTCTCTCTCTCTCTCTCTCTCTCTCTCTTTCACGTCACTCTGTCCGTTCCTCCCGTCCCCCCATCTCTCCCTCCATACACCAAATCTCCTTTCCTCTCTAACTCCCCTTCCTTCATTTTACTCTCCCTGTAACCCCCCCTCCCATTAGAGTGACACAGGAAGGAACTACCACTGTCCTGCTCTCCTCTTCCATCCACCTCCCTCCCTCCCCTCCCTCCCTTCCTCTCTCTCTCTCCACCAATACACACAAACACTCTCATTGTTATTATTATGCTAATGTCAGCATCACTTCCTCTGGTTCATCCCTTGTGAGATGACCGCAGCTTCCCCCCCTCTCATCCTGGCCGGAAGCCGCAGTCATTGGTCAACTTGGCTGTGGTTATGGGGGATTGGTTAGTTATATGCTTGGCTGTTTAGTTTAGTCATTTACGGTGCACCCAATACTCATCCCGTGGGCGGTAATGGAAAGGGTTAAAGAGGCATATAATGGGTTTAGAAACTGAGCCCAATAGTTAAGTTAGTTAATCACGTAACAATCTTGTGACGCTAGTTTATACAGCTTTGATTTTTTTCGCATATATTTAAAAATAAAAACTGTCTATGTTGTCAGGGATTTGAGACTATATATATATATATATATATATATATATATATATATATATATATATATATATATATATATATATATATATATATATATATATAACTACAAATACATATCTCAAAAGTCTTGTTATATCACAAGTGATTCAAGAAAGGGTCCACAACAGTATATATTAAGTCGGTCTAGTAATACCATTACCGTTCAAATAAATGTTGGAAAACAGTATAAAATAAATTTGAAGATAATGAAATCAGTTAAATAGAATATTCTCTCCTCTCTTATTTTTATCGTTCGTTAATGGCATAAATTAGAGACGGGCGATCAGATGACAAGATCTTGATGTCATAGACACTTGAAGAGGGAAAAATATTGGTTGATTACTGAGTGAAGCTCTGAGAATTGGAACTAATTACAATGGAAAGACTTGTTCCAGAATGGAAAGAGATTTATTCAACTCTTTTTACTCTTTTTATTAAAGAGAGAGAGAGAGAGAGAGAGAGAGAGAGAGAGAGAGAGAGAGAGAGAGAGGGGGGGGGGGGAAGGTTGGTGGAGATTGAGGTTCTGAGAGGAAAGATGACACAAAAAAAGAAGTGAGAAGAGTTTGAAGGTTGTTGGAGTATATTGGGAGTCCTGGTACATAATGTGAAAAAAAATATAATTTGTTTGTATTGCTCATAGGATTTATATATCAATCCACACACACACACACACACACACACACACACACACACACACACACAAGGGGTTAAGGGGGCCTCGTAGCCTGGTGGATAGCGCGCAGGACTCGTAATTCTGTGGCGCGGGTTCGATTCCCGCACGAGGCAGAAACAAATGGGCAAAGTTTCTTTCACCCTAAGTGCCCCTGTTACCTAGCAGTAAATAGGTACCTGGGAGTTAGTCAGCTGTCACGGGCTGCTTCCTGGGGTGTGTGTGTGTGTGTGTGGTGTGGAAAAAAAAAAGTAGTTAGTAAACAGTCGATTGACAGTTGAGAGGCGGGCCGAAAGAGCAAAGCTCAACCCCCGCAAAAACACAACTAGTAAACACAACTAGTAAACACACACACACACACACACACACACACACACACACACACACACACACACACACACACACACACACACACACACACACACACACACACATCTCAGGTGAGGTCTCAGATTGGCGAGACGTCACAAGTGGAGTCCCGCAGGGGTCAGTCCTTGAACCTATACTGTTTCTGGTATATGTAAATGATCTCCCAGAGGGTATAGATTCGTTCCTCTCAATGTTTGCCGACGATGCAAAAATTATGAGGAGGATTGAAACAGAGGATGATAGTAGGAGGCTACAAGATGACCTGGATAGACTGAGTGAATGGTCCAACAAATGGCTGTTGAAGTTCAACCCGAGTAAATGCAAAGTAATGAAACTAGGCAGTGAAAACAGGAGGCCAGGCACAGGATACAGAATAGGAGATGAAGTACTAAATGAAACAGAGAGAGAGAAAGATCTAGGAGTTGATATCACACCAAACCTGTCTCCTGAAGCCCACATAAAGAGAATAACGTCTGCGGCATATGCGAGGCTGGCTAACATCAGAACGGCGTTCAGGAACCTGTGTAAGGAATCATTCAGAATCTTGTACACCACATATGTAAGACCAATCCTGGAGTATGCGGCCCCAGCATGGAGCCCGTACCTTGTCAAGCACAAGACGAAGCTGGAAAAAGTCCAAAGGTATGCTACTAGACTAGTCCCAGAACTAAGAGGCATGAGTTATGAGGAAAGGCTGCGGGAAATGCACCTTACGACACTGGAAGACAGAAGAGTAAGGGGGACATGATCACAACCTACAAAATCCTCAGGGGAATCGACCGGGTAAACAAGGATGAACTATTCAACACTGATGGGACGCGAACAAGGGGACACAGGTGGAAGCTGAGTACCCAAATGAGCCACAGAGACGTTAGAAAGAACTTTTTCAGTGTCAGAGTAGTTAGTAAATGGAATGCATTAGGAAGTGATGTGGTGGAGGCTGACTCCATACACAGTTTCAAATGTAGATATGATAGAGCCCAATAGGCTCAGGAATCTGTACACCAGATGATTGACGGTTGAGAGGCGGGACCAAAGAGCCAGAGCTCAACCCCCGCAAGCACAATTACGTGAGTACAATTAGGTGAGTACACACACACACACACACACACACACACACACACACTTATTGCGTGTGTGACGCAGTCGGTGACCCGATTCCATTCATCATGAAGACAGGCAACTAATCAACACTGATGAGAAATTATCTGCAACACTAATCCAGTCCTTAGTACCACACATCCAATCCTCTGAGAGTACACTGACGCGCTGTAGAAAATGATTCACCATGTGGTAATCACCATTTGTGTTGTGAAGTTGGATCCTGATGGTGAGTGTCAACGAGAAGATATGTACTGAGTGGTAGAGCGAATACTGGTACTGGACGACCAGTACCCACCAAGAGGATTGGCTGAAATGCTTTGGGTAATAGTGGCTTCATAGATTGTGTAACTTCTGTCTCTACAATTTGCTCATTACTTCGTAAACACATATTTTTTTGTTTAATTAAACACTGTCATTGTTGTATTCACCTAATTGTGCTTGCGGGGGTTGAGCTCTGACTCTTTGGTCCCGCCTCTCAACCGTCAATCAACAGGTGGACAGGTTCCTGAGCCTAATGGGCTCTATAAATAAGTGTTTTCGTTGTCGTGATTTGTGGAGTGACGTGAGGCAAGCACATATGTGTCCCTCCACATGTGTTGCGTCCCACATATGCCGTGCAGGAGGCATATGTGGGACGCAACAGGAGCAGCTCTGTTGCAGGAGCAGCTCTGGTACATATTGCAACTGGACATACATAAGTGATCCATCTTGTGTGGTTTATATCTCCTCACTCACTGAGCTGCGAACCAATCAATGTGGAATATGTTCTACGGTGAGAAGTGCGTTTGTTTAGTAATTTACTTGTTGATGAGGCAAGTCTTGAATAGCTAGACTGTAGAGATGTATTCTCTTATTGGTGTCTATATAAGCTAACTTATAACTAACTTATAGCTAACTTCAACATATGCTAATTGTGGGTGTCTCTATTACTCCCAATTATATAGTCGTAACGGCCTAATGCTTTCTCCTGGTAATTATCTATCTATCTAATTGTGAGTGTTATGATGACTAGAGTCATCATATGATGACTAGAGTCATCATATGATGATTAGCATCATCATATGATGACTCCAATCATCATACCCAGTCTATAGAAGAAATAACAGTGATTTGACGGATTATGATCAACTTAAGGAGTACTAAAAGTCACATTTTCGATGCTACATGTATCAAAATAAGGCTTTTGCGTCTTGCACAATCAACATATACACGAGAGGAGATTGTGAGGTCATAAAGTGGGGGGTCGAACCCGCATCCCTTGACGTTCCAGACCTAAGCTCTACCAGCTCTCATAATCAACTTAAAAAAAATTGCCAATAAAAGTGGATGATTGATTGATGAAGATTAAGCCACCCAAGAGCATGGGCATGAATAGCCCGTGAGTGAGTCAGAAGTACTACCAGGTTTATTTTGTGGTTGTAAATGATATATAATATGAAGTTGCTATTGTATTGTTCAGTATCTATTGTTGTTATGACTACCACTTCCTCTCTCTCTCTCTCTCTCGCTTCTTCCCTCCTCCTCCTCCTCCTTCCTGCTCCTCCTCCTCCTCCTCCTTCTCCCCCTCCTCCTCCTCCTTCTCCTCCTCCTCCTCCTTCTCCTCCTCCTCCTCCTCCTCCTCCTCCTCCTCCTCCTCCTCCTCCTTCTCCTCCTCCTCCTCCTCCTCCTCCTCCTCCTCCTTCTCCTCCTCTTCACTCCCTCCTTTCATCCCTCCATCCACTCGACACCGAAAAACTTACACTCGACAATCTCCATCTTTTTGTCACCGGAAATGTGATGGAGGTAAAATACCGGGGTCGCTAATCGTCCGTCTGGCAGCGTGGCCTCAAGTGTCACGCTGTTGCCACGTTTCCTGGCTTAGAGTGTCACGCTGTTGCCACGTTTCCTGGCTTAGAGTGTCACGCTGTTGCCACGTTTTCTGGCTTAGAGTGTCACGCTGTTGTCACGTTTTCTGGCTTAGAGTGTCACGCTGTTGCCACGTTTCCTGGCCCAGAGTGTCACGCTGTTGCCACGTTTCCTGGCTTAGAGTGTCACGCTGTTGCCACGTTTCCTGGCTTAGAGTGTCACGCTGTTGTCACGTTTTCTGGCCCAGAGTGTCACGCTGTTGTCACGTTTTCTGGCCCAGAGTGTCACGTTGTTGCCACGTTTTCTGGCCCAGAGTGTCACGCTGTTGCCACGTTTTCTGGCCCAGAGTGTCACGCTGTTGTCACGTTTTCTGGCCCAGAGTGTCACGTTGTTGCCACGTTTTCTGGCCCAGAGTGTCACGCTGTTGCCACGTTTTCTGGCCCAGAGTGTCACGCTGTTGTCACGTTTTCTGGCCCAGAGTGTCACGTTGTTGTCACGTTTTCTGGCCCAGAGTGTCACGTTGTTGTCACGTTTTCTGGCCCAGAGTGTCACGCTGTTGCCACGTTTTCTGGCCCAGAGTGTCACGCTGTTGTCACGTTTTCTGGCCCAGAGTGTCACGCTGGTGTCACGTTTTCTGGCCAAGCGTGTCACGCTGGTGTCACGTTTTCTGGCCAAGAGTGTCACGCTGTTGTCACGTTTTCTGGCCCACAGTGTCACGCTGTTGTCACGTTTTCTGGCCCAGAGTGTCACGCTGGTGTCACGTTTTCTGGCCAAGCGTGTCACGCTGGTGTCACGTTTTCTGGCCCAGAGTGTCACGCTGTTGTCTCGTTTTCTTGCCAAGAGTGTCACGCTGTTGCCACGTTTTCTGGCCCAGAGTGTCACGCTGTTGTCACGTTTTCTGGCCCAGAGTGTCACGCTGGTGCCACGTCTTCTGGCAGAGAGTGTCACGCTGTTGCCACAACTCCCTCCTGGCCCTCTGTTAAGCGTGTGTCATTAAGGGGAGCGTGAGTAGTGCGTAGAGTGTACACAGGACCCAACCCGTTCCTGGCTCTGGAGTCATTACTTCAGTCCTAGGAAGCCTTCCCCTGGCTGCATATCTGGGGAGCAAATAAAATATTAAGGTAAGATGAAGGTGGGGAGAGAGCTTAGTGGGGAGGGAGTGGGGGTGAAGAGCTTGGTGGGGGGAGTGGGGGGTGAAGAGTTTAATGGGGGGAGTGGGGGTGAAGAGATTAATGGGGAGATTGAAGTTACTCCTCTTGTTCTCATGTGACGTCATCACTCTTCTCACTAAGCTGTCTCTTATACCTCTCTTTTACGTTCTCTTTCATATCTCACTCTCTCTCTCTCTCTCTCTCTCTCTCTCTCTCTCTCTCTCTCTCTCTCTCTCTCTCTCTCTCTCTCTCTCTCTCTCTCTCTCTCTCTCTCTCTCTCTCTCTCTCTCTCCTGATTTACCCTCTACACTCACACCCATTTAACCCCTCCCCCTTAACCCCACTGCACCCTATCCCACTGCTCCCCCACTCACCACACGCCCACCTCAAACCCACAACCCCCCCTCCCTACCCCCCCCCCCCCCCTCCCCCTTCCCCCGAGCCCAAAATTCATCATTCGCCATTTTCGCTGAGTTGTGATGGCCAAATACGGCTCAACAATCCTTTGCTCTTCACTTTATATCGTGATCACGTCCTTCAATAGAGCACCGCGTGCGGCCCAGCACCTAGGGGGCCCAACCCGCCCTGGCCCCTGGACGGCCCTTACGTCAGGGGGCCCCAGGGGCGCTTGTGGCCCCGACGGCCACCTCGGTAAATAGACCAAACTAGCACCCGAGTGAGAAACTTTATTAGTGGGAGATACACAGAGACGCGGGTCCTTCTCCCTCCCTTCCTTCCCCCCTCCCATCAAAAAAAAAATTCGCCACCTCACCCTGCCCCCTCCCAAGAGCCCCCCCCCCTCCCCCCAAGAGCCCCCTTCCCCCCAAAGAGCCCCCCCCGCCCAAGAGCAGGAGCGGGACAGAAAAACATTAAGTACTCAATTTGGTCCCATAACATGGTCGCTGCAGGAGAACTTTTTCTTATGCAGGATCTTCAGTTACTAATAAAATCTTCGTCCGGGTCTTCGTAGGAGGGAGGGAGGAGGGCGTAGGAGGCCAGCTGGTGTTTTAATAACACCACCAGCCGGAGGGTTTTATTAAACAGCCGGGCGATTATTGCCGATTATGCATTAATTTCGTGTAACGACTCCCGGGCGAGCGTGCACAATGAGGAGAGATAGTCGTTATTACCCGGACAAGCATCCATTAGCGGCTACGATTTGGCCCACCTTCCGTGTATTCTCCGCTAACCAATCAGCGGCCTCAGATTCTCCGCTCGGGCTGCCAGAGCTCAGTTACTTATTTTTGCTAAAATTATTTTAAATTGTATACCAAATGTATACACTAATCCCACGTATGCATACACGTGTTCTTAGTAAGATGCCGAGTATTCAAAGCTTAATTTTAAAACAGAAGCGATGTATAAGGCATGTTATTTTCGGGAAATATCGCGCCTCAGTCACCCGTAGGGAGTCGCTATTATCCAACCGCGAATTATCCCAATACCACAGGCCGTCCTGCGCGCTGATTGGTCCGTGTCGCTGCGACCCGCTCTCTCATTGGTCAACACCGCGGGGGGATTAGGTGTGTATGCATTGTTCGTGTAAATAGTGTTGAAATGATTAGGGGAGGGGGTTCCCGGGTGGCGCTATAAACGAAATAAGCAGCTGAGGCAGCGGTCCAGTCGCTGCGTGCCGGCCCAAGACTGCGGACCTCCACGACAGCTGCTGTTCTCCGCTGTGTGATAGTGTTCTTGTGATTGTGTTCGGTGTGCTTCCATCCTGTTCTTCCATCGCCATGATGGAACGCTCCCTCAAGGCCATCACACCCCCGCCGGAGTCGCGTCGCAGCGCCCCGTCTCCGCTGTCGCAGATTGACACACATCTGTCGCCGACGCCGACGACGCCGACGACAGGAGCGCCGCCGTGTCGCTCCTCCCGCGTCTACACCATCGAGGACATACTCGGGCGGCCGCAAGAACCGCAGGCGCCGCAGGTCAACGCCGCAGACACTAATGCCGCAGGTGAGGTCACTGCATGACATATCCTCTCATCCCGTCCCGTGAAGAACACCCCCCCCACCCCGTGAAGAACACCCCCCCCCCACCCCGTGAAGAACACCCCCACTCCGTCTTTTCTATAATCCATGTGTCGTGTTCTATTTTTCAGTGACACATGACTCCAGTCTTTCTTCCGTGCCTCCAGCCGGCACGCGTAACTATTTTCTGTGTATATCCGTGTGTGTGTGTGTGTGTGTGTGTGTGTGTGTGTGTGTGTGTGTGTGTGTGTGTGTGTGTGTTACATGTATTTACTGTCCCTGTAGGAGCCAGCTGTTAACCCTTGTGTGCGTATTTATGTCTGTGTATGTGAATATTTGTGTCAATATATGTGTTTGAGTGTATGTGTGTGTGTGAGTGTATGTGTAGGTGTATTGTAATATGGTTTATTTTAGACTTGAGATGCTGTCGTGATAATCAAAACATCTCAACTCTCCCATAAACAGATAAATTATGCTATATGCAGATTAATAATCAGTGTAAATATAGGTCAATAGATTGTTAGATTAGTCAACAGACTCTCATTAAATCCCGAATATCATGACACAGCTCAATAGACAGGCACATAAAAAAATAGACAGAGACATAGACATTTACCAGAACCATAGGCCAATAGACAGACCCATAGACTAATAGATGGAGCCGCAGACATTTACCTGAGCCATACATCAATAGACAGCAACAATCCAATAGAATGAGCCATAGACAATTACCAGAACCATAGTTTAATAGACAGTTGACATAACAATAGATCAACAGAAAGACCTACTTTTCAAGAAACCAATCGATACATGATGCCATTGATCGATTAAATAGACAGTGTCAGATCGACAATAGACAGGGCCATAAAAGAAGTAGAACCATCGATTGTATACGATTTGAGTACACAATACATCTCAATAGACAGAGTCATTGATAGAGTTAACAAGGGTTAAATATAAACAATAAATAGTAACATACATAAATCCACAATATTATAGTACTCTATACAGCAAAATGTCAATATACAGGAATATAGCTCACTAGAAAGATTACATACACGCATAGATCCAAAGAAAGTGAGATAGATAAATAGACCCTCTTGTTACGGCAACGTAGATGTAGATGCTCTAAGAGGTGAAATAGAACGATAGAGACAACACTAGAGCTGCATAGACATAGAACAATTTATTATGCACGAGAACCCAATAGACCTAAGACAATAGATATTGCACGAGAACTCAATAGACCTGGTCCAGTGGAGGGTGGCATAATGTTCACGGATTAATTGTATGCACAACAGATGGGCCTTGCTGTCATCCGTCATGCGTCATCCGTCACATATAACTGTCATCCGTCACCTATAAATGTCATCCATCACCTCCAGCAGCCATCCGTCCCCTCCAGCAGACATCCGTCACCTCCAGCAGTCATCCGTCACCTCCAGCAATCATCCGTCACCTTCAGAAGTCATCCGTCACCTCCAGCTGTCATCCGTCAAAATCCCATAGCTATCATCCATCACCCGTAGCCATCATACCTTTCATCCAAATGTATTCACAAAGATTTAGATTATCTTCCGGACAGAGGCGTTCACCCATCAGAGATAACGCGGATGCTGCGCAGTCATTCAGTCACCCAGCAGAATTTGCTGGGTGACTGGATGTCAGAAGTTAACTATCTCGCGTCTGGTCATCAGTAAAAAAGATTTGTTTGGGGTAAGGTGCTGTAAATTCCGTTGATAATTGTGTTCCATTTTGAATAATATATTATTAAAAATAATTTCAAATTATTGCAATAATAAGAGTAATTTTGAATATTATTATTCGTTGAGATAATTCGTCGGAGCTGTGATGAGGGATCGAATCTGCGCGGTAGAGATCAATAATCAATAATATTACTCTCTGAATCAATAATATTACTCTTCTTGTTATATATATATATATATATATATATATATATATATATATATATATATATATATATATATATATATATATATATATTAGTAGTGGAATTCGTGCATCAGTGCAACTTTGAATTAATGCTATTGCTAATATTTTTTTCTAACAGTTTGTGGTGAAAGATTTTGAATAACTTCAAAGATATTTTGTATTCCTCAAAAACATGTTTCGTGACGTAATTGAGAAATTGTCTTCAAAGAAGAGAGAGAGAGAGAGAGAGAGAGAGAGAGAGAGAGAGAGAGAGAGAAAGAGAGAGAGAGAGAAAGAGGAAGAGGAAGCTCTCTCGTTCTTGCCTAACACGTAAAAAGCTCCCTTAACATTATATATGACATTGTAAACACTGTTTACAATGTAAATACTGTAAAAACATTGTTTATTAAGTTACTGTAAATGCAAGCAACTTAGACAAGTATGCGGTCAATCGCTAAAAAATTCAATTTTTTGCCAAAATTTCGGAAACAACGATGTCATTCTCATGCAATTCGAAAATTCAGTGACAAGCTCGAAAAACGCATAACTGTTTAGGGTCATTTTTAAGCTCAAAAATGAAATTTCAATTTCAATTTCAAAATTGAAATTTCAAATGAAATGAAATGAGACTTCTATTAGGTAAAATTCGCGATATATAATGACAATTTTCAAATAATCACGTACCAATGTGTACAAAAGCACGCATGTATCATGCGTACACGTGATACATGTGTCATTCGTACACGTACACACTCATGCGTACATGATCACCCTCAGCATCATGCGTACAGGAACACCTCAACATCATGCGTACAGCATCATCCCAGCATCATGCGTACAGCATCATCCCAGCATCATGCGTACAGCATCATCCCAGCATCATGCGTACAGGAACACCCTCAGCATCATGCGTAGAGGATCACCTCAGCATCATGCGTACAGGATCACCTCAGCATCATGCGTACAGCATCATCCCAGCATCATGCGTACAGGAACACCCTCAGCATCATGCGTAGAGGATCACCTCAGCATCATGCGTACAGGATCACCCTCAGCATCATGCGTACAGGAACACCCTCAACATCATGCGTACAGGATCACCCTCAGCATCATGCGTACAGGATCACGTACCCTCAGCATCATGCGTACAGGAACACCCTCAGCATCATGCGTACAGGATCACCTCAGCATCATGCGTACAGGAACACCCTCAGCATCATGCGTACAGGATCACCCTCAGCATCATGCGTACAGGAACACCCTCAGCATCATGCGTACAGGAACACCCTCAGCATCATGCGTAGAGGATCACCTCAGCATCATGCGTACAGGAACACCTCAACATCATGCGTACAGCATCATCCCAGCATCATGCGTAGAGGATCACCTCAGCATCATGCGTACAGGAACACCTCAACATCATGCGTACAGCATCATCCCAGCATCATGCGTAGAAAGTCAATCCTCTGGCACTTATACGCAAATCGAAATCACGAGCGTCGAAAAATCTGCGCATCGTCCGACACGAATAATAGCCAACCGTGCGTACACGAACGATGTTGTTATCGATTCAGCTACTTAGAACAAAAGTTCCAAAGTAGCACGGGCTATGGTGAGCCCGTAGTGGACTTACCTGGCACAGGAGCGGTGCTGTGTGTGCCGTCCGTGTACACTAACGAATTATTCTTGAGGCGTAAGCGAAGCCTTAATTTCGTAATGATTAAACGAATATTCGTGTCATACGCTCACGTGTATTACTGCGTGAGATAGAGAGATTTAATTAATTTAATTAAATTAATTTAATTAGATTAATTTTTTTTTCTGTTTTGTGGTTGACGATTTTTTTAGTTTCATTTTGTAACTTCAGCAGATATTAGAAATATTGAAATTAACACGTTATCTATGTTAGAATTAATGAATTATTTACATAGTAATTATTTTCTGATATAATTATTTCGATAATATTTATTATTAAATGTTCTTTAATAATAATTATGCAGCTATTTTTGACAATTCATATATCATAAAAATTCTCAGAATATTAATTAATAAAAAAATGATAATATAAGCAGTGATTAATGCTAATATATCTAGCCAGAGGGAGCTTGAATCTGATGCTAATAACTGTATGGCAAGGAATCCTTGTTGTGAAGTATAGATTTTCGACCTTATGTTACATGTTCCCGCTATAGAGTGGCTGCTGTGTCTATGGATTTCTCGGTTACAGTGAACTTCGGGTATAGCGTTTGGTTGCTTGATTTGTCACTGATCCGGTTATAAATATTTTGATGGTTTGTGAAGTTTAAATTTCATTTGATGTACACACACAAGGTGAGTACACATACACACACACACACACACACACACACACACACACACACACACACACACACACACACACACACACACACACACACACACATAGGAATGATTATAGAAGCTTACACAAACAAAATTAAAAAATATTTAAGAAATGGGTTATTCGTAAGTTACCGCAACAGACAATTCACAACCGGTAGAGTAGGGGACTGAGGAGCTAGCGCTCAACCCTGCAAGCCCATATAGTTGATTACGCATAAACTACACGTTAAAACAGCTTTAGAAATAATTTCCCCTAGACAAGTTCGCCCAAAGATACAATCTCCCTAAACAATATCCATACACAATCTCCCTAAAACACTTCTTTCCCCCAGAAAAAATCTCTCTAACACAATTATTTCCGAGAAATAATCTCCGTCACGGAGATCTCTGGACTTCCTCTCAAGTTTTACTACAATTTCCATCTCCCAACAAGGGGCGCGGCGCTCATCTCCGCTCCCTCCCCTTTCTTCATTTCCCAAGTCATTATCGTGCCATTATTACGCCATCCGCGGTAAATGGCGATAAAACGATACAATTAGAGGGTCAAAAATTGGCGGTGGGAAGTCCGGGACAAGCGTTCGACTCCCGCAAGCACCGCATCTTGGCCGTCTGGGATTTGATGCCCGTAATGAGGGAGGGAGAGAGAGAGAGAGAGAGAGAGAGAGAGAGAGAGAGAGAGAGAGAGAGAGAGAG